TTAAAAAGGAAGCTAAGTAAACAAAAAAAAATTATTAATTAAAAAAAAAAATGTTAAAAAAGGAAGCCCGATACTTATTTTTTGGATATTGGCTACTATTCATCTTAACTCTAATTACAAACCTACTCCTTGTTATTCAACTTTAATATTAAACTCATTCATCTATACTAATATTCATCTTATGTATAATGACGGCGATGGAACCCTAAATTCTCTAAAGGAATTTTAGACCAACATTTCAAAGAGTTCTTAACTTTGAACTCAAATTCCTTGTTTCTGACATAAGAGTGTTTAATCAACACCTTATATGTTTCTTCTGCTATTCCTAAATTATATAAGGAAGTCATATACTTATCAATAATTACTCTAATATATATTAAATCATTTTTAGTCATTTTACTTTACAGTTCTCAAGGTTTCAATTCCTAATACCGACTATTCGACATACTATTTGCCACCAAGGCCTAAAGAACCAAATCTTCTATCCATCTAGAAACTATATTTTAAAAAAAAAGACTTGAACGATTCTAAATTCTTACATTGGACAACTAAGACCTCAATCAAAAAAAAAAAAAAAACAAATTGAAAAAGGATACATTGCTTCTGCAAGACCCATGTCCTACTATTTATTCCACATAGACAGGTTTTCGAATAATCTGAATTCAGACCTCTTTAAATGTTATCATTGATTCTACTTATTTGGCCAAAGTGATTCTTAAACTTCTACATCTTCTGTCACATTGCCCTAAATTTTTAAACTTAAATCATTGCTTTGTATCATTCTACCTGGTTTATATCAAAAAGCAAAGACATAGCTAAGAAAAGTTAAGCTAATAAAAAAAAAAAAAAAGAAGACTAAAAAATTAAAAAAAAAAAAAAGTCTTAGTTGAAATCGTGTTCGAGAATAAAGTAATTCAGCTAAAGAAAAGAAGGCTCTAACTAGTGAACAAAGTTAAAAAAAAAAAAAAAAAAGATATTAATATATCACCAGCAAGAAAACTACTTCAGAAAGAATCAGTATAAATGCTAAAACTGTGACAAGATCAAGAACAACGGTTAAAAGCAACACTTACAACCAAGATCCCAAAGACAAATATACAACTCCAAGATGACAACAGCTCAAACAAGTATCGGAAATAAACGAAAACTCCAAAACCACAACTCTAAAAACCAACGATAAAATAGAAAATGATGAAATCAAATAACAATGTTTTAGTAATCAAGATGTGACTTACTAATACAACTTAAAAAAAAAAAAAAAAGAAGAAATTGTTACAACAATTCAAAAAAAAAAAAATACTAAACTTTAATTACCCACGCATTCATCAAGTCTTGCAATTGCAATTAATCTTGCATACTCTAAGAAAGCCATATATTTCGGCAAGAGGGTTCATAAAGTCTTTGGACCCAAAAAGATAGCATTTACAGCAACTCCAAGAATGATGAATGATGATTCAGAAACCCCTGAAAAAGCACCACACAAGCATTAAAGCCACTACAAAAACAAGACTGACAGTTGGAAGCAACCTCTAACAATGGCATCTATAACAACGACAATTATGGCCCCAAAGACGAATGACAATTCCAAGAACAAAGATGGAATTCGAAACAATGGTTCTAAAAATACCCTAAAGAAAAGATCTTAAAACAATAAATAGAAAAAAAAAAATGAAGACAAAGACTAAATATACTTCTTCAAATGTCATCGAACATCAAAGCCACTACAGATCTATTCTAAAAAAAAACAATGTAGGAAGATCTAGAACCCGATTTAAAAAGAAATCTTAAATCTTGCCTAGCCAAGCTAAAGAAGAGATTGGTATAACAAACCAACTTAGAAAAGCAAAAAATTAAGAACCAGAAAAGTCAAAAATATATAGACTAAAACTCAGGACTCAAAATACCTACCCAAGATCTATGTCTGGAAGAAAGCGATTCAAGACGGATTTGCTTTAACGACCTATAGAGAGATCCAAAGCTTGAGGTAGAACAAGATTAGATACTCAAAACCTACCAACCCGAGATAAAGAAAAACACGAAAGACCCAAAAGTATAAGCTAAAAATGAAAAGTAAAAAGGGAAAGAAAACCGAAATCAGTAGAAGATCGATTAACATATTTATAGGTATCGATTATATGACTTACGTCATGAATGGTAAAATGATCGAAATGGATCCAAAAGCCTAGAAAACCCCAGTTTAAGACAAAGAAAAAGACATTATCTAAGTAATAGTCAGAGCCAGACCCTAACAAAAAAAAAAAAAAAAAGAGAGAAAGAAAAATTGAAAAAAAATATGAATTTTCAGAAAAAAATTTAAAAGAAGACAAAAAACTCGAAAAAGCAAAATTTTTATTTTTTTTTTATTTACAAAAGAAAAATTCTAAAAAAATAGAAAAAGACAATAAAAAGAGAAACTATTCTATATACAAAAACACCTCAATCTCTTCTCCCTCTTTCATTTTCCTCCTCCACCCTTCTTTTTTCATTATCATCTTCTCTTCTTCTTCTTTCTTCCTCGAACCGGCAAAGAAGATCTCAATAAGCGGCATCATGCTCCTCAAACCAAGTCCGATATCTATCTTGTTCTTCAATAAAAGCTTCTCTCTTCTGCTTCTAATGAACAAATTGTTGCAAATGATCGAGAGCTATATAATTAAGCTCTGCAATAGTTGTAGTCTAGTTTTCTACTTGTTGTTGCAACCATCTATAAATATAATATTATAATTAATAGATAATTAATTATTTAATTGTCATTAAGTATTTTCTTCTTTATGTATATACTTACAAAATATTATTATTGTTATTATTACTGTATTATTATAATAATAGTAATGATGATAATTATTATTATTTTTATCATTATCACTGCTACTATCAAATTCATATTAAGAAAAATTTTGAGACATGTTGTTGAGATTAATTGAAAATATATAAAGAAAATATGGTCTATTTATAATAGATTATTGAACACAAGAACATGTTAAACAATTTTATTAGATTATCTATACGAACTAACAATGATCGAATTTTTAGCAATATTATTTCAAAAATATTAAAACAGCAATAGACAAAAACTATATATTTTATTTAGTTATTTTTATTAAAGCAATTACATTAGATAATTTTATTAGATTTAGATATTTCAAAATTTTTGTTTTGAAAATTTATTAAATTTAGATATTTGATTATTTAAAGCTTAAAATTTTTATTAACAAAATTTAGAAATTTTAAAAGTATTTATTAAAAATATAAAACAAAATATAGTACAAGAAGAAAATAAAAACTGGAATAACTACAAACTCCACCAAAGAAAAACCATTCTCATTTTCTAAAATACTCCGCAACACCAAAATCTCCATCTCCAAATTATCATTTATTGTCTCCAAATTTACAACCTGAACCTTTAACCTATTTCTTTCTAACTGCAATCTCTCCAACCGAATATCATTTTCATAATTTTGCTGAACTAGTTCAACCAGATCACGCTCTTGTAGCTATGCCTGAAGGTTTGCTACTTAATTCTGCAACCCCTGAATAATAGCCAAAATGGACTGACTTCTAGTTGTTCGTGACATCTAAGTTTTGATGAAAGTGTTGTTAGAAAAAGAACGTTTTTTCCAAGATGAATATACTTAAAAGACAAAAGTATAAAAAGAAAGAAAAAGAGAAAACGATAAAGGGAAAAGTATTTACTAGGGCCATGCAGTCAATCATACAAGTCATAAAAAGAAAAATTAATCATCCAAGTATAAAGGACTGTCAGCTTACCTAGACATGGAAGATCGGCGGTTGCCCTGAAAGTGTAAAGCTAACGAGGTTTAGTACACAGTCCGAAAAGTATACACACCTTCGACAAAGAAACAAGAGGCAAGACAAACAAAACAAGAGAAGTTATCGAAAAACTAAAGAAGAAAAAAAAAGAGTATTAAACAAGAAAGTTTCTAATGTAAAGGAATTATGGAAAAGAATAGTACCAAAAAGAAGATTTGCATGTGAAATTTTTAAAAAACAAAACTAGAGATGAGACCCGAGTCAAGCAAACCTGGGTCACCTGCGGTTGGGTCAGATATCCGGGTGGTAATTCATTAACTCGGATGAAAATGTATTAAGAAAAAAATTTTGCATTGGGGTGTAATGCTAAATCATCACTCAAAAATAACTAGTAAAATAATTACATGTTACTAGTTGTTTTCATGTAATAATTTAACATCACACCCATATATATACTTGCATAAAATGTAACATTGATAATCGATAGTTCTGTAATTTGGTTACTATTAGTTAACTTTATGATAAAGCGATTCAACATTTGTTGAAGTAAGTAAAATATATACTATATTAATGTTATTGAAAGTTTATACTTTCATTATTAAAATATTAAATACTAATATGTGTCAGTTTTAAGGTGTGTTAATTTTAAGAATTTCAAGATAATAACGTGTGTGTGGCCTTAAGAACTATTAATGTGTGTGTGATCTTAAGAACCCTTTTAATACTGTGCATAGCACAGAACTTTTTCAAATAACTTTTCTTATGTTAATGCAGGTGTGGCTTCAGAACTTTTCTATATATTGATTTAAAAAATTGTTTTATCGAAGTAATACTTATAGTAAAATTTTATTTAGAGTTAGAAACTATCGGCATAAAACAGCAATATATATAAACTTAAGGTATTACAAACTTGAAGTTTTTTAAATTCAATAAAAATTTATTTAAAACTATAGAATCTATAAATAATAATATTTATTTTTTAAAGACATTAAACTTTCTTCTTTGATAAAATAAATGACGATAACAATGGTTTTGATGAACTTTATAGAGAATATTATTTTAATGAACAAAATGAAATAAACGATGATATTTCAATTAGCTCAAGTAGTAATGTATCTATTTTTGATAAAAATCAATCTCAAGTAAAGAAAATTAATTCAAACAAGCGAAAACGATCTTATTCAAAGCCTAGTTGGATCTGGCATTATTTTAAAGTAAGTGATGATAGAATGTTTGATAAATGCCAAGTTCAAGTAATGAATCTTCGAAATGAATCAGTCAAGTGTGATAGTAAGTTTGTACATAATGGCAGTACAGGAAATATGGGTAATTACTTGCAAAATAGATATAATTTGAGTGAAAATAAAAATAATGAGGTACTTACTTTATTTTGCATTTTAATATACTTACTGTAATTTATTTATTAATAATATTTATAATAAATATATTATAGTCTCAGATTCATACAGTTCAACAAACTATACCAGATATTTTTGAACATGCCAAAGTTAAATTTCATTCAGAACTACATAATCAAGAAATCTGACAAGCAATTACTAACTGGATTGTGATTGATAATATGGCACTTAATGTAATTAATGTGAAAGGTTACAAAAAAATGATGAAAATTATGATCCAGCTTTTCGAATTCCTTCTACAAAAAAAATTAAAAAGAAAGTTCATACTAGTTATAATGGTTCAACTGAACAATTAAAAAGTTTATTAAACAATACTTGTGAAATAGCATCATTGACAACTGATCTCTGGACATCTCGAGGCAAATATGGGTATATAGGAATAATGATTCATTGGTTATCAAATGATTTCAAACTTTATGATAGTCTTCTATATATGGAGCATATGTTATATTCTTATTTGAGTAAAAAGATTGCTGCACTATTAAAAAAAAAAGTATCTGAATTTGAATTAGATAGCAAAATTACCTATATTGTAACTGACAACAGCAGTAATATAATTAAAGCAGCTAGCTTATAAAATGGTGTTGAGTACTTGCCATGTACAGCCCACACCTTACAACTTTCTATAAATTGTGCTTTTAAAAAAACAAATATTCATTTTAAAAAAGTTAAATAGTTAATTAAATTTTTACTAAATTACCTAAATGTAGTGAATATTTGGATACTGCACATCAAGAATTTCAGCAACGTAGTTTATCTTTATCTATGTCCTTAACACAAAATCAAAATATTACTGAAGCTAATATATCAGATAATTCAGATAATGAAAATTCTGATGAAGAAAGTTTATATCAAGAACCTATATTGTGAAATATTTCTGACATTAAAACACGTTGGAATAGTAAATATCATTCTTGGAGTAGACTAATTAAATTACACTGAGCAATTGAATGGTTAGCTGCAACATTACCTTTATCAGAAGATTCTGTAGATCGTGCTAAAGGATGAAAACTTCATAAAAAACTTTTATTACCTTATAAATAGGATCTTTTAAAAAGCATAATTACATTATTAGAGCCTTTTAATGATGCAACTGTTTACTTTAGTAGCACACATTATGCAACATTATCAATTATCTATCTATTAATCCAAGTTCTTAAATTTATATATGCTTATGCTGAAACATTTGATCAAGTCAATTATAATAATAATGGTAAATATTTTATGTTACTATTTTATTTATAAGTTTTTAATATTTTAATAAAAATATCTATAATTTATTAGAAACACCTAACTTTGATTGTAATGAATTAACTAATGATAATAATGATGACGATAATAATGATTCTGAAGACGAAGATTTAGAATTTAACAATTTATCAACTTCAGCTCACCAAACACGCTCAGTAACAAATATTGCAAATCAAAATATGAATCAGAATCATACTACACAGGCTATTCTTAAAACATTACAACATATAATATATAACTCTTTATTCGATTATTGGGGTGAATCTTTAATACCTGGATTATTAGCAACACTTCTGGATTTTCGATTAAAAATATTAGCAAATTGGAGTAATAATATTCAAGATATGGCAAAAAAAGAACTAACACATCAATTTAAAGAGCTAATTAATTTTAATTCAATGAATATATCAACAGACTCTATAGTATTAAATGCACCTGAAAATAATAACTTTCGTCATAACCGCTTATATTTATCAATATTTAGTATGGCAAATACAAGTAATACAACTCTGAGTCCTATGGAAGAATTAGAATATTATTTAGATCCAATGCGTACACATATTGCTGATAATAGTGTTGATCCTTTTGAATAGTGGTTTAAATGTAAATTGCAATTTCCAAATGTAATAAAATTAGCTAGAAAATATTTGTCTATTTCTGCATCATCTGTAGCTAGTGAAAGGTTATTTTCCAATGCAGAAAATCAAACAACAGCTAAACGTACTCGATTAGATTCAGGTTTAGCAGCAAAAATGATGTTTATAAAAAGAAATTATAATGTATTTGAGATGGTTTAATTTGGTTTAGTTTTTTTAGATAAATAAAGTTGCTTATTGCTTATTGCTTAGTTGCTAATTTTACAATATAAAATTTATTTTTAATAAGTGACTCGGGTTCACCTGGATATCCAATTTTAAATATATTCGGGTACCCAGGTGAGGTTTTGTTATCCGGGTCATATCTCTAAACAAAATATACTGAAAAACAAGAATATAAATAAGAATTATAACAATAGTTAAATTTTTTTATGCCAAAAAAAACTACCACATGGTATAAACAAAGAAAATCATAAACAATAATGATATGATTGATAAATTTAGAAAAAGGATGAACAATTTAGAATGCAAAGCTAATTTTAGCACAAAGAATTGTATAAAGTTCGAAAGCCTCCTAATTTTTAAGGAAAAAATAGACAAAGAAACTAATGAAACATATAGTTCTAGCATGTGGAAATTCGACATATCTACTAATTAGTATTACTATAATTGTTTATCTTTTTAGAAAGAAGATTTGAAAGAAAGACTTTAGCAAAAATAGAAATAATATATTCTATAATATATTGTCTATTTTAAATTAACTATAACCAAAACATGTGATTAAAACCTAATGATGTTATTGAACAATTACAAAGATAATGCTCGAAAAAATACTAAAAAATCTCCAAAGAAACAGAAAACTCAATTCAATTTCAAGATATAGTAAAAAGAAATACTATAACAGTAACCAAGTTGGCAAATACTATGAAAAACTCCTACTATTACTCTTGAAAAACTAGAATTTTCAGAGAAAATTCTTAAAGGCAATAGAAAACATGACAATTTTTAAATTTTTAATTATATATTGCACGTTATATTATCTATTTTAAAGTAACTGTAATTAATATGTGATTATTACTCTATTAATGTTCAAAAGAAGTAGCTAGAAAAATTTTAGTATCATTTGAACTATGGATTAACGGTCACGATAGAGGACTGTCATTATGCAGACTCAGGTTCGAGACTGGCTAAGGGAGCTGCCTGCTAGATACCAAGTTTAGTGTAGCTCTTAGTTGAAGTATTCGAATGATTGATTTTTTTTTATTTTATTTTATTTTATTATTATTATTATTATTATTATTATTATTATTATTATCATTATTATTATTATTTTTTTAGTTTATATATTTATTTTATTTGAAAAAGAGAGTAATAACGTAACATATATGTACAAAAAAAAGAAAATTACAAATCAAATTCTACATCTAAATCTATTGCAACACTATCTATATGACTCTCCAACTCAGCAACCTGAATCCGCAACCAATTTCTTTCTTAAACAACTCTCCAATGCTCCTTATCTTTTCTCCAATTCTCTTCTACCGACTCCGTATTCCAAAAATGAATTTCTTCCAACTCCGCTTCCAACACCACGATTCTTTTCCTTAAGGATCTTACTTTACGCCACAACCTAATATGGATTACAAAGTTAATATTTTACTGAAACTATTACAAGAATCAGTAAATATTTATCTTCTATTTTGATTCTGTACTCCAATCAGCCTCATAAAGAGCTTCATTACTGTTACGACGAGCACGTTGAACAGCATGGGAAATAAGAACACAAGGCATTTTATAATGATGATGATTATTATTATTATTATTATTGTTGTTGTTGTTATTGTTATTGATATTAATGTTGTTGTAGTTGATATTTGTGATATTAACAAAAAGAGAAAAAGAAAAAGAAAATTCTTAGAACCAAAAACCATGCTATATAAAATATGCCTTATTCTAAATTAATCGTGATCGACACAATGTGCAAAAACTTAGTAACTATTAACTTACAGAGTTCATTTTTAAAGGCGATAAAAATGTTATAGAATGAGTTAACATTATAAAACATATTAGAGATTTTATCTTTATTAGATCCAGAAGATTGTAATGATCAAAACAAGCTACAATACATAACAAACGAACTATCGTTTAGCTAGATAATACTTTTTGTACCTTTTATACTTTTTGTACTTTTCATGCCTTTTGTACCTTTTATACCTTTTGTACCTTTTATACCTTTTGTACTTTTTATACCTTTTATACTTTTTATACTTTTTATACTTTTTGTACCTTTTGTACCTTTTATACCTTTTGTACATTTAGTACTTTTTATATCTTTTGTAGGTGTTGTAAAAGCTATATAAACCCTAGCTTTTATCTTCCTTGTACTAGAGAATTTGTTTCTTGCAATGTTCTAAAATATTAAGATTCTATAGAAATAAATACCTATAAATAGTTTTGTATCTAGACATTGTATTATAAATAAATAAACATATCTTTGCTCTAAAATAAACTATGTCTCTATGCTTTTAATAAATATACTGAACTGCCCTAGTGAGGAAATATTTCACTTCCACACTGCTTCATATCTCGCCCTGTTATTTAGAGATCTCTGTCATTATGTGCTATGTTGCAGATAGTAAATTAAGAAGGCTACCCCACTTGTAACACTGTAATAGCAACATTTGATAGAACAACAATAAGTGTTAAAAATATATTTAAACATAGAATTAACATATAAAATCTTTCTTTCCTTTATATAAAACTTCTCAAAACTATAAGTAATAAATAGTCTATAAATACGAACAGCAAAGTTTGAGATTTGTACTAAATATAACAAGTGTAAATTTATAAAATTAAATAACAAATGACTATCATTTTATATAATAAAATATATGAATTACTTTTTGTACTATAAATTTTGCGTCTATGAAAATCTATTGGTTATATATAGATCTGCAATTAAGTTTTTTAACACTATCCCTTAAACTGTCCAGTTTTAGCAGGCAAATTTGTCTGCTTAAATTTTATAAATTCATATCTGATCTATTTTTTTAAAATATAAAAATATTTTATAATTTTTTTTTTTAAATAAAAACTAAGATTATATACTA